CTTAACCCCCACACAGCACGATTGTGATAACATCCATATCCACATTTATTCTTTTTGGATAAGAATCCATTCTTTAAGTTCCAAGTTTACAGTATAGATTTCTTGTAAAAGACTATTGGTGTCTTATACAGGGAGGTGCATCGAAAACGAAACAGACGCATTTACTGGCAACTCAGTATTTTTTTGGAAAAACGCTTAGACCCGTCGATTTTGTTTTCGAGGGGGACATAAGTTTGGAAAAAAATCACGTTGCCACGTGCAGCCCCCTGGGCGGGGGTGACACCAACCCTAAAATCTTAAATGGGAAGGGGGGTCGAGTAATACCTTATTTTAAATGTATTTCATTTCCCTTTATAATGATGTAAAAGCTTAGAGTAGACTTTAATAGGTATATCAAATTAGTTTGTACTACTTTCACCAGAAATTTGACTAAAAGAATTTACTTACTAAGTAAATACTTTTCTTCACTACGCCGATGGTTTGTTTATCATTTTGTTGTTGAACATAGCTATTGGAGCGTTTTTTTTGTGGCAAAAAGGTTATTTCTTGAAGAAAGATAAGGAAATATCTCGTACTTATTTTAAATAGGAATTTAGTACATAGTTTGCGATTTATTTGACCAAACTTTGTTGCTAAAATAACTTGTAACGCTTTATTACACAAATTAACCATGGTATATTCCACAGCAGAAAAAGTTGAAACAATCGAAATATTTTTCGGAAATAATCAGTGCGCTAATAGAACAGCAGAAATGAGCGACATGAGAACAGTAACGGGCATCGAAAATATATTCTAGAACTCCTAGCTAAATTTAGGGAAACTGGGTCGGTCGCCAATAAAAAACGCAACATTGAAAATCCCATAAGAAACGAAGCAATAGAAGTGGGGTTTTTGGGCAAGTTTATGTAGATAGATCCTACGTTAAGCCCATAGTTTTCATCCGTATAAAATTCACCTGGTACAAAAACTTAATGAAGACGATTTTGATCGGCGATTACAACTTTGTGAAGATATGAGTGAACAAATTATAAACGATGAGCATTTTCTATTCAACACTTGCTTTTCCGACCAATGTTCCTTTTTCGTAAATGGCGTAGTAAATCTTTCTTAACTGCCGATATTGGTCCGATTCTAATCCCAGAATTTATCATGAGGTTCATTCACAGCAGACACAAAAATTAAATGTTTGGGCTGGTATTTTTGGCGATAATTTAGTTGGTCCTTTTTTCTTACCTAGAAATTTGACCGGTGAAATGTATTTGGAATTACTGGAAGACACCATAGATCCTGCATTAAACAGCCATAATTGAAAATCAGAATGATCGGCGATACATTGCGAATAGGTTGTTCCAACAGGATGGTGCCCCACCACATTACACATTACGTGTTAGACAATATTTAGATCAGACGTTTCCAGATCGATGGATTGGTAGAAGAGGTGTCATTGAATGGCCCCCAAGATCGCCAGATTTATCACGTTTGGATTTCTTTATGTGGGGTCATTTAAAAAGCAAAATGTATGCTGCTCAGCCAACATCATTAGAAGACCTGCGACAAAGAATTGTGAATGAGTGCCTTCAAATTACTCCTCAAATCTTGCAAAATGTGCGCCAACCGTTTTGAGCAAGATCTTTATTATTGCATGGAGAGTCATGGTGGCCATTTTCAACATTTACTTGCCTAACGTGTCACTTCATTCTTCATTTTTAAATTACTTTGCTTCCAAATGTATTGATCTCCACTAATGATGATGTACCTATTAGTTTTATTTGAGTTTTAAATCAATAAATCTTCAAAACTACTGAACTGAAGTACATTAATTTTATATCATTATAAAAGGAATTGAAGGACCTTTAAAATAAGGTATCACTCGACCCCCCGCTTTCCATTTAAGACTTTGGGGGTGGCGTCACCCCCGCTTAGGGGGCTGCACGTGCTAACGTGTTTTTTTCCAAACTTGTTTCCCCCTCGAAAACAAAATCAACGGGTCTGAGCATTTAAAAAAGACTTAGCTGCCAGTAAATGCGTCTGTTTTGTTTTCGATGCGCCACCCTGTATAAGGAAAACGGTATTATGCTGTGGATTTTTAGTACATGCTTGCCGGGGTTATTGTGGTGGAAAAATCACCATCAACGTATCAATATGTGCAGAGAGATGTGATTCCCTAGTTGAAAGTATTTACAGCCACTTCAAAATAGATATTTCAAGGTAGTCAAGCTACATCGAAATATTTTCGGGGTTTTTCGGTACGTATTTCGATTACGGCCGGTGCCCACGGCTGCTCAAAGGGGTGAGTCAGTTGTCGACTTCCTTTAGTTCCAATGTTTAACAAACCTTTTTTTAATCGGACCATTAAAGGCACGAATCGTATTTCGCTGTACCAATTCACTTACCAGTGATAACTTATATATATATTATATATAATATTATACTACTTTTAGCCCTTTTACTTTCTACGCTAATGAGGCTTATTTGGACACGCCTACAAAACTGGAGTATGACCAACTATTTTATTGGATCAACCCATTTCCAATGCAAGACTGGGTATGAAGTATAAAAAACCTGTACTGCAGAACCTAGGTAACTGTTTTTTCTGCCTGACCTTATGAATAAAACTGTCACGACAATGAAAAATAATTATAAAGTAATTATGGACGATTCATTTCATGTGCTTCCGTTTATATTTTACAAATTTTACATAATGCAAATAAATTCACTACGCCCACAGAGCATATGGGTGTAACGTTTGTAATCTGTGATCTGAATATTTCAATTACAAAATCGGATCTGCATGATTCTTTCTCCTTCCTGCTGTCAGTCCTATCCCTAAAAACATAGTAAAAAAATCGGTTTATCATTTTGTAGTGGACAAAATTTGACAAACCGTATCCCATAATCCTACAACCCAAACCCATTGTCATCAGTTAATAAAGGACTGTTTGGCAGAAGTTAGCCCCTCGGAGAAAAAAGTTGGCTACGACCATGTGAAAAATAGTTTATACTCCCCACTCATTTGGCATTGCTACGATCTAGAAATTTATCGCCTGCCATACCGATTGTAAACCTACTCCTAGGCTTTTGCACACTCAGTTATACGTTCGTTGAGCTGCTGTTCTACCGTTACGCCACGAGTTGAAAATATTCCTTTATCATACTGTTTCAAAAGCTAATGCACTGGAAATATATGATGTGTGAAATATGTCCAATAGGTGCGTAGAATGATCGGAGTTGGAATGTATTGGTATGCTAACGCCAAAAATTGATACATACATATACCCTCCCCCATATCCCCCACAACTAGCTATTTGTATTTCTTACTATTTCTTCTGAAACATCAAAAAGTTTGAGCAATTTCAATTTTTCCCGTTTTTTGCCTTTACCTACGCCGCCACTGGATCGATTTTCAAAGAATACAAAGCTATTTTCTTCTTGATGACAGACATTTTTCGCGATTACAAGTCTGTAACTTCGAAATTGTATAGAATTTTGACTTCTTACCTATGGGCGAGGGAATATTGTAATCATGAAAGCAGTTGATATCAAAATATAGGTATTTTGGATATGACAGGGCATGTAGCTACATCACAAAAGCTACGAGTATGTCACTCACTTGGACTGTCATCTGATACTCAGTATCTATACCTACATTTTAATGAATTTTGATACTGGGTTCATACTAACATGCCAATGATAAAAAAGTATTGTAGGTTTTGAAAACCGAGCGTACGTGTGAGTGAAAATAACGTTCCTGTACGTCGTTTTACGACCTTCTGATCATTTCTGTGTGTTCTCAAAACACTTTTTTGCGAAGTCAATGGTCAATTATTGGAAGCCTGTCAATATTTAAAAAGAAAATTGAAAAAATGGAATATCTACTGTTACAACTTTTATTAGTAAAACTTTCAGTGTAAATACAAGGTACTAAAAATACAAAAGTTATAATAAATAATGTAAAGATAAAATACATCACAACTATAATAATACTGAAGAATAATACAGAGAGCACTACAAAAACTTCAAGCAAGTTTCTATTGCATAGCGATTATATTAAGTACAATTTTATGCTAGAGTAACTGCATCATTATAAAACTAATTGAGATTACTAGCTTTAGGATTTTGTCCACTTTTAGCTCTCACACTAATGTCAAACAAAATATGATACAATTTCGCATAAACACTAAGGTTATACTGATGACAGATATATTTTAAAGATTCTTGAAGCATTCATAATTATGGAAATAATATATATTTTTTATCCACTCAAAACTTTATTTAAAATAACACTGAAAATTCGATGTACTTTTTGTATGAAATGTCTCACCTCTGGGTTATATCTAACACATATACAACCTGTATAGAAGTGGTTCGAGATATTTTTGTGGGAGACATTTGACAAAGCTGTGATATAATATTCATGTATTACCTCATCCAAAGACAGCAAATTCAGTCATTCTTTAAAACTATACTTGTTTGATTTTATAAGCTATTAATTTACAGGCACAGGTTTATGTTATATAATAATCGTCTCCGATTCCATACTACAACAAATATTATACTGAAAACTACTTATATGTAAAGCCAGCAACTATTGCAGTATCTAGTCTTTAGTTATAAAAATTGTATATGTATATAAATAATAAATATATAAATTACAAAAACGCGGCAGATATCAGATATGAGTGTAGTATTTTGTAAGTTATATCCATAAAAAACTTAGCATAGAAGTAATGCACCTTTGGATAAATGTAAGAAGCTACCTAAATCGATACATATATTCTATTTTCACAATTCTCTAGTGTTTACTCAAATCCTAAAGGGAGGTCATGGAATTTTGTATTTTCTCATTTTTTTTGGGATCCAATGTTTTCGATGGATTAAAAAAGCGGATTCAAACCATAAACTATGAATTCTGTTTTTTTAGCAATGCATGCACATGTTGACGAACTACCGTCATTCTCATATTTCAACCACTATTCATCGAGTTATACAAACACAAAAAATTAATCCATGCTTGTCTTGGCAGCAAAAGATGTCAAAGATGAAATTTCATTGGCAGTGCCCTCTGTAGGCAACCTGCTGAACTCAACCTCCTCCCCGTCATTGCAAATGGGATCATCAGGCCACTGTTTGTGACTCGGGGCATATAACATAAGCATGGCACAAATGTAAACATTCCACATGCCATACACACCAGTATGGAGAGCAGACGACAACTCTAGTTCCATATTCTCATCCCATTTGCTTTGACCTTCGGAGACTTGAGATAAGATGAATGAGATTACTGTCACAGCTGCACAGATGACAGTTGCCAACATTAGGAAGTTGAAACGGTAGATTATGCCTTCATAGTGCAACCTCCTTGCTTGTGACATGCTTGGCAACACTGCCCTCTTGAGACTGATGTTTCTGAACACCTTCCAGATCATATAACACAAAAATATAAAATAGATACTGGCGGAAATTCCTGCTAAAATGATGAAGGATAGTGCCAAGTTTGTGCCAATGGGTGTAACCCATATAGAATAAAATGGGTTGACCAGTTGGACACCTCTTTCACACAGATCAAAAATCAATAAACAAAAACATCCTACTACAATTGTGCTAAGATGCTTCCAATAAAGCTTCAGAGAATTTTTCTCTCCATGGTCTTGAATAAGCATATGTTCACCTGCAAATACTAACCAGAATGAAAGCAACATAGCATAGAAGACACCCTGTCGGATATCACTGAGAATAAGCATGTAAGACATTTCAAATGATAATGTAAGGTACTCTAGCGGTAAGTTGAGAAAAGCGAGGGTGGCTCCGAGAGACATGAGCATATATTCAAGTAAAGCAGGAGTTCTGTTCAAGATATGCACCCGATTCCAAAACCAAACCATGATCCCAATAATGATCGGAAAGAAAAATGTTTTTTAGCGCAACCCATACTTTTGTAAAACCGCCGTTCATGTGGATTGTATGAATATGCACATCTTCTAGTCTAGACAAACCAACATTTTTGTTTGCAGTACGATTATATGGCAACCTTAGATTCAAAAGATAATAATCATGATGCAATGACCCTAGTTCAAATAAGGGTACCATACCACAATCATAAGGATAACCATTTTTATCATTGTGGGCAGATTTTTCATCAAAAGTACATTCCATGTACCTCTTGACTTCTGAATGTGCAAAGTACTGCCATGGAGTTTTGCCTTTGTTTATATCCTTGTCACTGTAGGCTAAGCGAGCATCTAGAGTAAGTTCCATGACTGGATCAAGAAGCTTCTGGTCCTCTTGATAAACCATGTCAATTTGTAAAATGCCCATTAGATTTTGCTGCCAACGAGAGTAGTCAAATGAGTAATGGGGCATTTCTGCTACAAACACCTGCAAAAATAGGATCATCAGGTGTTACCCCTCTTTTATAGTTTGATATCCCATGTAAACACCATGGGCAGGCTATTAAAACATGTATTAGGCATTGAAATAAAATAAAAATGTGGGTGACAAAATTGGTTTACTTGGTATTTTTGTTAGAATGATACTCATTCTAACAAAAATACTGTTGCTGGGCAGAACTTTGTACATTTATACTTATGTGCTTACTCATTAGATTAACAGAAATGAAGTGCTACAGATAAATTTGAAGGAATGGCCTAAAGCAATCAAGATAAAGTATATCTTAATGAGTGAGAAGGATTACAGGTTGATTGAAGTTCAAGTTATTAGTAGTCAACCAAAGTCCCACCACATGGCTCCAAAGTAGAGAAAATTTGTGTCCTCAAAGATCGTAATGCTCTTCAATTCTCATAAGAGGTAAAACAGAAACTATGGGCCCAACACTGAGGTGAACTCAGAAAGTATTCAAGGATCTCCAAAGCAAAGAAATTGAAGTTTTGTGTAGGACCACAAATTACTTGTTGCTATAGCTCCGGCCCTGTTTTTATTGTTATAAAAAAGTCTACATAGACCTTACAACCATGCTGCATGCTTACCAAATTGTTTGCATCTAGTCCCGCAGTGCTCTGTCGATCAGACAAGTGGACTTGAGTTGGGCAACTTCTAGTGAACCACCTGTTAATCTCTTTGTTCTTTGGGTCACGGTCAACGCAGACGGTGGTCAAGATTCCCTGGGATGTTGCTGGACTGGGAGCAATCAAACCAACCAGAAAGCATGCTATCTGGAAAGTTAACAGAATGGTCACTAGTACACTCAATTTCTTTCCGCTGAGGTTTTCCAAAATCGTTCCCGGCATGTTGGAATGATTGGGTTGTTCGGGATAATTTTGATTTCACCGGCTTAAAATATACGCACACGGAACGCCATTGACAAACAAAAACAATAATAGCTATACGGTACAGAACAGGGGCTTTGTGATTGGGTTCAAACCATCAGGAACTCTGCAATCACGCCTAGCACGAGATTGTAAGACTGGTTGCTCGATGCGCTTGCAGTTTTCTTTATCGATTTATTATGAAGCATCTTATCACTTTCCATCCATAGAGAGCGCTACCATTGGAACATACAGGGTGGTACGCGGTACAAGCTAGATTATCACACAACAGCTCTTTGATATTTTGGTCCTGGATTAACCCTTACATTTTGGAAAAAAATGTAAAATATCCCAAACTACGTATAGATTTTTAAATAGATTATTATAGATTACTTATGAAGCCTCTAATTCAAATAATTATGATTTATTTGGCTAATTAGTACTATGTAATGGGGTCGGATCTTTTTCTGACAGGTATATGCGTGTGTGAGCCATACCATCATCGACACCGATTTCAATTGGCTTGATTAATAGTAATACAGTTATGATCATGGAGCCTATATTCCTATGGTATACCAGGAGAACCAGCGAATAAATAAGTAAAAAAACAACCCATAACTTCACGGGCGTAGTGATTGCGAATAGTGCCAGGTACCTACTGCCCATGAGTATCTGAGATTATATAGTACTACGGCCGGCCGCTTGAATTTGCAGGTATCTGATCAAACTTGATTTTTATGAACGATAAATAATAGTTGATTACATTAATAGCAGAGTTGCCTGGTCTAGCCTCGAGTACTGCGAACATGTTTGGTGTGCTGCCGCCCTGAATAGATTGTCCATGCTCGATGCTGTTTGGAGAAAGGCTGTCCGACGATCCGTTGGCGATCTGGCTTCCACCGCTTTGTTAACGGTTTTGCTCCTTGGATTTTTCCTCCATGATGCCGCCACGCGATGAGCATGCCAGATAGACCCGCCTGACCTCCCATCCCAACCGTATCGAACTTCGCGCGTCCAGAACCGATCGGTAAGACGCTGCTTTGTCCCTCAGGACTAACGAACAATATGCTTTAGGAAGCTTTTCTCAATGCTACTAACCTTTTGGGTGGTTCAAAAATAACAGGGTGTCCTTAAGCTCCTTATAGCAGGCGAATCTTTGGCTCTGATGTGATGTAAAATCTGCTTATGAGATGGCATTACTGGAGGTGTAAGCTGTAAGTTGTATGTATTGATGATATATAATTTACATTGGGTTCTTGTCTCAAATATACTTAATTGAGATTCAAAGCTAGACATTAGTTGCGCATTCACTTTTTCTTATCCCTTCTGGAAATTACATATACAAATTTGCTGAATTTTAAAATGAGAGAGATAAGAAATAATTATATTCACTGTACACTGTCGATTTAGAAGCCATATACATGCTAACAGTACTTACACACAACGCGGGCGCGGTGACGATTTTCCCTAATTCTCCTCAGTTTTTCGTTATTTATAACTTTGAACATTACCTCTCTTCACGAAGCACAACGTAAAAATAACCGTCGGGAACAGCCAATTAATATAGGTACTTCATTGGCAGCATATAACTATTCAGTAATGATTTTCTCACACAGCAGATATCACCGATTTTATACACATGCAGACCAATACACATAATCATCCAGATGCGATCTAGCTATTAACCAACTTCCTTCTCAGAGATAAAAACTACAGACAAGGATCATTTGGCCTCACAAAACATATGCAACCAATAATGCATGTAGTTTAGTTGAGTGATTCCTCCTTAGATGGACGTTCACAGGATCCTAGAGAGCAAACGTGGAATGACTGTTTGCACCCTAAAAACTACCTAGTTTGCAAGATGACATCTTATAGGTTTTTTTACGTTTTATAGGTCTTTTACATGATACCCATGCGGGTATTTAAGCTTCTGTAATGAAATTGTTTCAACGAACATGCATATAATTTAGTCGTGACCAAAAAATGAAACATCATACACAGGACTGCATTTTAAGGGGGTTCATCTATGTAACAGTTTTTCCTCGAAGGCATCATTAAAAAGATACGGGGTGTTGAAGTTTAAAAATAATAAACAATTTCTTTTAATACCTTCAAAACTGTCAACTGGAATGACCTAAAGTTTGGTATGTGGACTTACCTAAGTATTGTCCACATTTAAAAGTATTTACTTAAAATTAACGTGCAGCAGTGGCGGAGATACAGGGGATTAGTTGCATTATGTATCCAAATAAAAATAGTACGCCACTGTTTTTTTTTTCGAAAATCGCAATTTTTGTAATTGTACTTATAATTTGCTACAAATAATTACTCTTGTGTTTTTTTCTACAGTGCATTGTTTTCGTAACAGTAAAAATATACAAATTAGTAAAAACCTTTGGGGTGGGTTGGCGTCTGTTAGGAAATCTACGTTGATACTCCCGGGCAGCAGCTAAAACATTTCCATTACAGAACCCGTACACAAAAATAATACCGGCGTACTCATCATTGCTAAATTCCATTTCACAACACTCAAAAAGGAAAAAAGCTCTGGACTTGACTTTAAAAAAAATGGTAGGTAGTAGTAACGATAAAACAACCATTAACACATAAGTTTGACAAAATATCTCTCAAGAAACGTCAAGTTGGCATCAAGGCCTCCTGTTTTATTTTGAAACTAATTGTCTGTGCTCTTCAAGAATGATCTGAATTATTTTATTTTTACGAAAAAGGTGCACCCTAGGAAAAAACACAAGAGTAATTATTTGTAGCAAATTGAAGGTAAACTTCGAAAAATAACGCGTTTCGAAAAAAACAGTGGCGTACTATTTTTATTTGAAAAAATAATGCCACTAGTCTCTTGTATCTCCGGCACTGGTGCAAGTTAATTTTAAGTAAAAACTTTAGAAAGTGGACAATACTTCCGTAAATTCACATACCAAATTTTAGTTCATTATAGTTGACGGTTTTGATGATATGTGTTTAAAAAAAATTTTAAACTTCAACACCCCGTATATTTTTAATGTTACAAAATGTGGTCGTGTGGGTGATGTTTCATTTTTGCTCACGATGTCACGATTTGTAAATCACCCTGTATAGCCGGTTCTTCAAAAGCATCATTTTAAGATGAAATATCAGGAAAAGTGGCATCGATACATCAATGTTATTCAGAAATATACCATCGATGGCAAAAATGGCCGGTTTTTTATTGAAACATCGATGTCTCGTCTGCAAACCAACCGCCAACACATGACGCCATAATACGTTTACACATATTGTATTAGAACGAAAAAAACTATTTTTACTATTTAAAGTCTAATTTATTACTACATTTGAAACGAATTTATTACAAATTTATGTCTACGTCGACCGGAGTATCGCGTTTTGCGCTGGCGATTCATCATCCATTGTCTGTTACCCTTCATTTTCGAATAACTCGAAGCTTGGTACGAGGGATGTCTTTTAAGTTTTGCATATGGAAATAAAACAACACGGTAGGTAATTTTAAATGACTTTACTGTTTTTCGAAGTATTCTCCACGAAGATTAATACACATCTGCATGCGCTCGAACCAATTTTCGAAGCACTTATCCCACTCGTTTGCTGGCAGATGCAAAACGGCATTTTTGAATGCGTCAACTGCTTCTTCTGGTGACTGGAAATCGTTAGGACTTAGATCGGGACTACGAGCCTCTTCCCACTTCACTTGGCCCATTTCAAGATTTGTACCAAAATATGCCTTTATAAACTAAACATGACGAAACTGTTTACTTCTAAAACAATTTATTTTCTCAAAAAAATTTTAGATACACTCTAGTCGTAAAAAATACATATTTGAAATCACTTAGACCTATAACTAATAGAACATCTGAACAAATAAACAATGTGCGAATAAATGCGCGAAGTTAACAAAGCAACAATTGAAAGATTATAATCTTAAACGGTAATTACCGTTGGGTAACATCACCTTTATTTTTTATTACAGCTGAAATTCTTTGGAGCATAGTGTTAACCAGGTTTTGGCAAAAATTTGGTGTAAAACAATCCCATATTTCTTGAAGCTTTTGTCTCAGTTCGCTGATTGTATGAGCAGGATGTTGTCGTAGAACCTTTTTCATCTCGTGCCACAAAGTTTCAATAGGTGACAGATCTGGACTGCTAGAAACCCATTTCAAAAGTGGAACATTATTTTCTTCCATCCATTTTTTCCATCTTTTTCGAGGTATGGCTCGCTGCAACAACTTGCTGAAACACAAAATCTTGGCCGGATGTCAAACATTCTTCCATCACTGGTAAAAGCGATTCTTCTAAAATTGCCAAATATTTGTTTGTATCCACATTTCCATCAATAAAATGAAGTTTTCCTACTCCTTTTGATGACATACTGCCCCAGACCATAATGGATGCTGGAAATTTCACTTTTCTCTTCAGAGAGTCAACATGGAATGCCTCATTTTTTTTGCGAATAACTCTACTGCGACTGTCACCAACACAAACTTCGAATCGGGCCTCATCACTCCATTGTATTGCACACCATTGTTGAGATGTCCATTGTCTATGTTCTTTAGCCAATCTAAGCCGATTTTTCTTTTGCAGTGGAGTTAATACTGGCTTTTCTTTGACCTATAAACAAGTTGTGCAACTTTAGGGTTTTTACTCTACTTTTTTTATAAGAAACCTTACCTTGCAAGTGCTAGATCCCAGTTTTGTGGGCCTCTCTATGAGTTGTGGACCTCGAAATTCTCCTTCCAAACAGCGTCACTCCACAGAGCACTTAATTGTAAATAATTGGCACGCCTATTTTTCACGATAATTCTTCTTAATGCTCTTCGGTCGGCATTTGCGATATAACTTTTTTTCACATATCGTGGCTTAATATTAACTGAACCAGTTACGTTACATCGTCTAACAATATTTCTCATACTGTACCACGATAAGTCTAACAAAGTTGCAATTTCTGAGTTTGATTTCCCAGAATTAAAAAATTTAATTATCAGTAACTGAATTTTCTCACTAATAACCCTTACCTCTACCTATTTTAAAAACCTTAACTACCCAAAACTATTTTAAATGTATTCTGTCAGCTGTGATTATTAAAAACAATTGTCATGGCTTTTATTTTTCACAGCCACCTATGCGTTATAGACTT